GACTCGACTCTTTTCCAGCTGTGTGGCTTTGGGCAGGTCCCCTCGCCTCTTGGGACTCTGAGTTCCCTGTTCTGTGAAAAGGGGGGATTCACTCTCTACTTCACATCGGAAAGGACTAGATCAGGTAATGCTGGCAAGGCCCCTGCTGCGGTACAGAATGGGGGCATGGTGAAGGCAAGGCCCTCCCTCTGTGCCTCTAGCCTGGCAGAGAGCGCCGAGGAGCCCATGGGGTCTGCCAGTGCGGCCTGCACAGGGCAGCGTCTCCACGCACACAGCGGCACCATTGTTCCAGCCAGAGAGGCTGGGCGTGAACGTGACTCTTGGGAGGGGGGAAGGGCAGGGCAGAGGCACAGAAGGGCTGTGAGCAGAATGCCACAGAAAGCTCTGCTCCTTACACAGGGTCTTGTGGCCTGTCAGCATCCTGAAAATCCCCACTCCGGTCAGGGCTGTGCCATCAACTTGAAAGTGTTCTTGGTAGAAAGGAATATTCCTCATGATGGAGTCCATTACCCAGTTTGTTTGTTTTTTAAGTAATTTGTATTATTATTTTTGGCTGTTCCATGTGGCATGCAGGATCTTAGTTTCCCCAACCGGGGCTCAAAACCGTGTCCCCTACAGTGGAAGCATGGAGTCTGAACCAGTGGATTGCCAGGGAAGTTCCCATCATCCAATTCTGACAAAGCCTTTTCTGAGGTCTCTGGGCTTCCCAGGGGGTTCAGTGGTAAAGAATCTGCCTGCCAGTGCAAGAGACTCAGGTTCGATACCCCGGTAGGGAAGAGCCCCTGGAGAAGGAAATGGCAATCCGCTCCAGGATTCTTGCCTGAAAAATTCCATGGACAGAGGAGCCTGGTGGACTACAGTCCATGGGGTCGTAGAGTTGGACATGAACTGAGCACGCATGCACACTTCTGGGGTCTCTATGTTTCCTTCCCATAGAGCAGCTTAAACTCTCACCACTGCCTCCTTCCATTATTGCCCTCACACTTTGTGAAGTACCTGGAGAAAAAAAAAAAACATCCAAGGACACATCTCTATTAGTTTGCTAAAGCTGGCATAACAAAGTACTATAGACTGAGTGGCTTAAACAACAGAAATTCATTTTCTCACAATTCTGAAGGCTAGAAGTTTAAGGTCAAGGTGTCAGCAGGGCTGGTTTCTTTTTTTCTTCTTTTTGGTCCTGCCACATGCTGCTTGTGGGATCTTAGTTCCTTGACCAGAAATGGAACCCGGGCCCTCACAGTGAAAGTGCAGAGTCCTAACCACTGGACCGCCAGGGACTCCCCAGGGCTAGTTTCTTCTGAGACTCCTCTCCTTGACTCGTAGATGGCGCCTTCTTCCTGGGTCTTCGTGCCGTCTTCCCTCTGTGTGTGTCGGTGTCCACATTCCCTCTTCTTATAAGGACACCAGTGATCTGGATTAGGGCCCACGTGATGACCTCATTTTTCCTTAATTAGCTCTTGTATCTCCAAATACAGTCCCGTTCTGAGATCCTGGGGAATAGGACTTCCTCTAATGATCCTCACTTCTCTGAGGAGGAAACTGAGTCACTGAGCGGTGAAGTCACTTCTTGAAGCTAGAACATGCTGGGTGCGGAGGCGGGTGGGCAGTCTGGTTCCTAAGCAGGCTCTTATCACTGCACACCACTGCCTAGAAGTGGGTCAGCCTGGTCTTGTCCTTTCCCCACGCAGCCTTAACCAGTTACCTTCCCCAACGGGCCCTGCTCCCTGCCCTACCATGCCAGGCCCTGCTGGGCTCAGGGAGAGGGTGACCAACCCAGATTCTCCGCCGCTGCCATTTCATCAACGATCACATTTCAATTTTCCCTCCGTCTCCAGCATGTCTTACCCTAGGGAGTGCTTTCTCAGACCCCCTCTGCGATGAGAGAGGGGAAGGGGAGGAGAGAATGGGACTGACCCAGATCCCACCCCCATGGCCCGGCTTCCACATGGCTGAGCAGGAGCTCCGGAGCAGCCGCACACAAAGGAGGGCTTTGAGGGAGCTCCAGCCAGGCCCGAGCTGCGCCCCTCTCCCCCTTGGCGCGTCACTTGCCCCAGCCTGGGCCTCCCTGGGAGCCTGATTTAAACGGAAACTGGGGGCCCTGAGAAGTTCCTTGTGACCCAGTAATCCCAGCCTGCTGACTGGACCACGCCCCCAGCAGAGGCAACCTCCAGGCTCCCGGAGGACACAGGCTCCAGGTGTCCCAAGAGGAGCTGCTAACTTGGCAGGTAAGTCAGTAGCAGGGGCCTGGCTGGGCCAGGAAGCTCAGGATTAGGGTGAGCAGTTTGTGGTGGGGAGACCACATTCCAGGCTGCCCCCAAAACCTGGCCATTCTTCAGGTTGAGTCCGACCAACCTGATGGCAGATTTAGCAAATAAAAATATAGGATATCCAGTTAAATGCAAATTTCAGATGAACCACAAATACATTTTTAGTGTGTTTGTGTTCTCAGTCTTTGTAACCCCGTGGACTGTAGTCCGCCAGGCTCCTCTATCCATGGAATTTTTCAGACAAGAATACTGAAGTGGGTTGCCATTTCCTACTCCAGGAGACCTTTCCAACCCAGGGATTGAACCAGAGTCTCTTGCATCTCATACATTGGCAGGTGAATTCTTTACCACTGTGCCACCTGGGAAGCCCTTTTTAGTATAAGTATGTCCCAAATATTGTATGGCACATACTTAAACACTTCAAAACTTTTTGTTTATCTGAAATTCATGTGTAATTGGACATTCTATATTTTATCTGGCAACCCTAGCTGGCAAGGAATAACTTTGACATGAGTGAGGGGTGGGTATTTTCTCCATGTATACAACTCATAAATCAATAGTTTAAAATCACAGTTAGTAGTTTGGACATATTTTATTTTTAATTTTTTGGCCATGCACAGCATGTCAGATCTTAGTTCCCCAACCAGAGATCAAACCCACATCCCCTGCATTGGCAGTGCAGAGTCTTAATCACTGGACCATCAGAGAAGTCCCCTGGGCATATTTTATTTTATCTTTTTTTTAAACTTTTTATTTTGTATTGGGGCATAGCCAACTAACAATGCCGTGATAGTTTCAGTTGAACAGCAAGGAACTCAGCTATACATGTACTTGTATCCATTCTCCCTCCAATTCCCCTCCCATCCCTGGGCATATGTTAAAAAGAGTTGCTGTACTGACTTTAACCCTTCATTTCTAAGACCCTTGATCTTGTGATGATCTGCTTAACTCCCTGGGGGTGTCTAGCTACTGTCTCTCCTGTCGGAGCCTCTCGCTTGGGGAGTTCTATTAGCCTTGCTATTTTTGTTCCAGCAAAACTGAAGTGAGAGCACTGTCGCATTTCAGTCTATCTTATATATCTTCCTGCATACTTGGAAGTCTATCTCTCAGAAAGTTGACTTCGATTTTATTCCTGTTGGTGGATTACAGCCCCCCAGAACTTCCCTGTCCTCCTGGGGCTGCGGAATGGGACAGGAGATGGAAGATCCTCAGATACTCCCTGGAATCCTCTAAGCCTCTCTCTACAAGCTGGGGCAATGATCAGGATGGTGCTAAGAAAGAGAAGGGGAACTATGTTTCAGAGCAAAACACTGTGCTAGGTACCCTAGAGAACTTATATGATCTTCATTACAACTCTATTTGGTAGGTGTGGCTATTATCCCCAATTTGCAGATGAGAAAACTGAGGCTCTGAAAGGTTTTATTTATCACCTGGGTGATAAATAACAAAGGCTGATTCAAACCTCGGTCTCTCTAACTCAAAAGTGTAGTTTTCTGTGACACCTGCTGTCCTAAGAGTTTGCCTGGAGATGTCTTGGCTCTAGGTGTCAAAAAAAAGTCTTGGTGTCAGGCAGACATAGGTTCAAGTGCCACCTCTGCCACTAATCAACAGTGAACAGGCGACAGAACTGACCGACAGGAACCTTATCAGAGGCAGGAGTGGCGTGGTGACGGGCCTGGGGATGTTTAGGTAGGAGAGGGAAAATGTGAAAATAGAAGAATTGTCTCCAAAAATAATCAGTGCGATGTCAACGTGGGCAAAGGATGAAATTTGTTCTGCTGGCCTCCCACTGCTTCTGTGTACATTATTTAATAAAATCTTCATAACCTTCCACCTCCCTTTTATAGGGGACAACCCAGATTCAGGTTAGATCACATCACTTGCAAGTGGGAGAGACAGAATTTGAACCCAGATCTGACTTCTGCCACAACAGGCTGCCTCTTGGTGCTGACGGAAAGTCACAGCTTGGTCTTGAGTCCTGATCCTTGGCTATTTCTGGCTGTGTGACCTTGGACAAGTCACCTACTCTCCTGGGCCTGTTCCCTCTTATGTAAAATGGGTATAATAATGCTGGCTCCCAGACAATGGATTTGCAAAGTGCATCACAAGGCCCTGAACATGCACCCAGTTATGGTTACATAACTAGCCATCATCCCTCCGGAGAGTGAATTCACTGGAATGGGGCCATCCACGAGGCTGGGGAGTTTCTCAGGTGCCCCTTGGGACTGGAAAAAGAGGGACACAAATGGGAAGAGGGATTGCCTCATCCCTCAGTGACCATGTAACCGAGAATGGAAGCCTGTTCTAGTTTCTCCCTGGCTGGGCCATCTCATTTTAAGAACTGAAGTTCGAGGTATATTTGTGTGTGCTCCTTCTTAGAGGGGTGTTCCCCAAAGCGTAGCGCAAAAACCACCTTATTCAGGGCCACTGGGGTGCTGCTTTGTTTTCTTTGACTGCGTCACATGGCAGGTGGGATCTTAGTTTCCCAACCAAGGATTGAACCCGGGTCCCCTGAACTGGAGGCAGGGAGTCTTAACCACTGGATCATGAGGGAAGTCCCTGGGGTGCTGCTTTAAAATACAGATGTCTGGTCTGCTTTAAAATACAGAGTCAGGCACAGGGCCAAGGCATCTGTATTCTTAGCAAATGCCTCATGTTGCTCTGATGCACTCAAAAGTCTGATATTCATTGTTCTGAGACAATAACAGAAGAACTTCTCCATGCCTCCCCTAGGAAGGAAGCTGCCTGCCTTGAGAGGCCAGGACGGACAAAGTGGGATCCTTCTTTGTCTTCAGCTCTCCCAGTCTTCCAGAGACAGCATGTCGGAGGGGGTGAGTACCCCCGTGCCCTGGGGCTCCCCCCTGTCCACCTTCCCTCCTTCCTTTTCTTCCTCCCTGTTTCTCCATTGTCTGCTCTCCTCAGGGTTATGGGCATTCACCCTTCAAACCTCTCAGGAGTCCCTGACCCCACCCATGGGGAGGAAGTTCAACAGTGACCTTGGGCAAAAGCACTAGCTTGGGGTATGAGCAGACCCGTTTGGCTGGCTTGCTCAGGCTGATGGGGGCCTTTTCCTCTCTTTTCCTGGCTCTCCTTCCTCAGGCGGGCACGTTCCGCATGGTCCCTGAGGAGGAACGGGAGCTCCGTGCCCAACTGGAGAGGCTTACAACCAAAGACCATGGACCTGTCTTTGGCCCGTGCAGCCAGCTGCCCCGCCACACCTTGCAGAAGGTGAGGTGGCCCGGGGGTGTGTGAAGGGACAGGTAGGGAGGCAACAAGGGGGAATATATTTATTTATTTATTTATTTGGCTGTGCTGGGTCTTAGTTGCAGCATGTGGGATCTTTAGTTGTGGTATGCAGGAGCTGTTAGTCACGGTATGTGAGATCTAGTGCCCTGAGCAGGGATCGAACCTGGGTTCCCCTCACTGGGAGCACAGAGTCTCAGCAACTGGACCATCATGGTAGTCCCAACATAAGGGAATACTGATAACATCCTCTCTCCTGTAGAAGGGGTCCAGTACCAGCCCTCTGGGTCACTCTGGACCTAAAGGACTGGCTTGTTCTAGGGGCTATTCTGAAAGTCAGGGCCATGGTAGCAACTGGGTCGACCAGATGTCCAGGCCACCCTATTCTAAGATTATGGCATCAACAGGGTTCCCTGAAACCAAGGCTGGGACCTAGGGCTTCTGGACTAGGGATCATCCTAGACTCAGATGTGAGGAACCCTGATTTGCAATGGTCTTAGAGAGGACAGGTACAGCTGCTGCCCCCAGCTGAATAGGAAAGGGCCCGAGGCCTAATATCACATCCACTTCCAACTTGCTGTGTGATCTTGAGCAAACCGCTTTCCCTCTTCGGGTCCTGTCTTCCACGTCTACGAAAGAAGGTTGTCGGACAAGCTCAGAGAGAGTCCGAGTGTGGCAGAGCTGGCCTGGGGTTGAGCTGGCCCTGGGCTCCTGGCTTCCATCTCTGCTCCCTGGGCATCTCAAGGGAAAGCTGCTCCGAGCTCCCCCAGACCTGCCTTCACCCCTCATGCCAGCCAAGGAAAGAACCGCCCCTGGAATGCTGAGGATTTCTCCAGGCTCATCCAAGGGGAGGAATGTGAGGGAGAGGGCAGGCTGCCACCTGACTGGTATCTTTAATTTTTTTTTAAAAATTACTGGTATCTTTAATTTTGAGAAGATCAGAAATGAACCTGGGAAGCAGCAGAGTGAAGCAATTAACAGTTCTATCTGATCAGGAGTTTCAGCTTCACCTCTTTCTATCTGGGTGACCTTGGGTAAGACTATCTCGACCTCTATGAGCCTCAGTCTGCTCACCCTGAGAAATGGGGGATAAGAATAAACCTTCCTGTGATGGACTGTGGCCAAGATTTAAAAACATCATGTATTGGACTTCCCTGGTGGTCCAGGGGCTAAGACTCTGCCCTCCCACTGCAAGGGACCTGGGTTCCATTCCTGGTTAGGGAACTGGGATTTCACATACCCCAACTAGGAGTTCGAAGGTGTGTGTGAGTCTCTCAGTCGTGTCCGACTCTTTCCAACCCCACGGCTCCTGAGGGCTGCAACCAAGACCCAGAGCAGACAAATCAATATATATATTTTTTAACGTATCTACAGGACTTAGCAGTGTGCTAATTCAGGGCTCCAGTAAGCATAGGTTGTTGTGGTTAGAAACATTTAGCCCTTTGGCCGTCTCCTGCAAACAAACCCAGAATGAGCAGTTTGCCCTAATTTTCTCCAAATATAACGGGCAGTCTGAGCTGCTGCCAGCGCTGATGCGGTGCCCTCTGCCCGTCCGCCGGTCTGGCCCCGGGAGAAGCCTCCCGCACCTCGCCTACCTGACTTCGTGCCTGCACCCCACTCCTGCTCCAGGCCAAGGACGAGCTGAACGAGAAGGAGGAGACCCGGGAGGAGGCGGTGCGGGAGCTGCAGGAGCTGGTGCAGGCGGAGGCGGCCTCCGGGCAGGAGCTGGCCGTGGCTGTGGCGGAGAGGGTGCAGGGAAAAGACAGCGCCTTCTTCCTGCGCTTCATCCGCGCGCGCAAGTTCCACGTGGGGCGTGCCTACGAGCTGCTCAGAGGTGAGGCCCCAGGAAGGTTGCAGGGGATGGGAGTGAGAGGGGAGGGTCATGAGGATGGTGTGGACCCTCATCCAGGCACTGAGGAGACTGCCCACTCCACCTCCCTCCCATGCTCTGTCAAGTGACTATCTGAACCTCCTTCTCATCTTTAAAATGGGTGTGTGAACTGAATAGTCTCTGAGATCCTTTTCAGTTCTGACAATGAGTGAGTCTGGCAGGACCAGATTCCTGGAGATCCGGCGCCTCTTTCCACTCTCAGTGAGCAGAACTTAGCCACCCAAACTGGGAGCCCAAGATGCCAGAGCTCCCTCTCCAAACCCTGCTCCCTCCTCGCTCCCACCGGCCCCTCCCAGGCTTTGGCTCTGGAGCTGCTGCTTGGAAGGTGGGTATGAGCCTGATTCCTTGGGAGTACCCAAACCTCACAAAGAGTGGAATTGGAGATGGTGCCTGCCCTGGGAGTAAGCCCAGAGGACAGAACCTCCCCCGCCACACCCATTGGATGAAGACCAGTGTCCTAAGGGAATCAAGTCTTTGGTGCTGTTGGAAGGAACCGTGTCTGAGCAGACGCTCAGCAACCTAATGATTCTCCTTCTTCTTAAAAAACATTTTTTTTTCATCACTCTGGTTTTTTTTTTTTTTTCTTTTTTTGGGGGGTTGCTGTGGGACCTTAGTTCCCCCACAAGATATCCACCAGCACACCCCTGCAGTGGGAGCCTAGAATCTTAACCACTGGACTGCCAGGGAAGTCCTTCTCCTAACTCCTTCCTTCCTTCTACAAATGTTAATTCACTGTTGCTCTGTGTCAAGGGCTGTTTCAGGCCAAAGGATGCAGCCGAGAACAAAATAGACAAGAACTGCCTGCCCTTGTGGCCCTGATAGTCTAATGGTAGAAATAATAAACCAGACAATTAAAAATATACAGAGAAAAACAAAAGAGGTGGATATAAAGGACTGAGGGGTTGAAGTTTTAGGTAAAATGGTTAGGAAGGCTCTAGTTTGCAAAGGAAACTTTTAAAGAAAAACTAAAAAGAAGTGAGATGCCTGAGGAAAGAGCAATAAGGCAGAGGGTATAGCAAGGACAAAAACTGGGTGGTGGGAACGTGCCTGGGGTGTTGGAGGAACAGCAAGGAGGTCAGTGGCTTTCCTTTGGCAAATGTCTCCCAAACTCCTCCTCCGAGCCTGGCACCTCCAGGGTCTGGTGGAGGAGACAACCGCAGAGAAGAAGGGACCCAATCCGGATGGCTCAGGATGGGGTTGGTGGGTAGTGGAAGTCCCACTGAAATTAGAAGGGACCTCTGTGTCCTGCCTGGGGTTTGGATTTTATCTGGGGGTCATTTCCCCACCCCTGCTCAGCTAACCCTGTGTCCAACTAAAACACCCGTGCTTCTACTCTTGGGAAAGAGAAAAATAACCAGTAATAGCTGTCCTCAGATTTAGGATTACACTTCATTTTTGTACAGTTTACTGATGGCATTCATATCTGGAAAAAATCCATGCATTTTTTTTCCGCTTTTTATTTTGTATTAGGATGTAGCCAATTAACAGCGTTGTGATAGTTTCAGGTGGACAGCAGAGTGACTCAGCCATCCTTCCCCCCCGAACTCCTCTCCCATCCAGGCTGCCACGCAATGTTGAGCACAGTTCCCTGTGCTAGACCGGAGCGTACCTGGAATCTTGTTTGATTACCACAGCAACTTGGCAAGATAGGCCAGTATTATCCTTCTATCTTTTGGAGGGGAAACTCGGGGCACAGAAAGGTTGAGTACCCTGCCGGGTTATACACAGCATGTAGATGAGGAGCCAGGCAGGAGCCCGGGTCTCTGCATGCCCACCCGTGCCACCCCGGGAGGGGCTGGCTCCCTGAGGGGCCCCCTCTGCTCCCCCTCTGCCAGGCTACGTGAACTTCCGGCTGCAGTACCCAGAGCTCTTCGACAGCCTGTCCCTGGAGGCCGTCCGCTGCACCGTCGAGGCTGGCTACCCTGGTGTCCTTTCCACTCGGGACAAGTATGGCCGAGTAGTCATGCTCTTCAATATTGAGAACTGGGACTCTGAAGAAATCACCTTTGACGAGGTCAGTGGGGGCTCACCTGGTTCCCCGCCATTGCCTGGCCTGGGTTCCCTTCTCCAGATCTGGTCTCCACTGGAACCTCATTCCTGGCTCCCCGGGAGGCAAGGTTTGTGAGGGAATGTCTGGGAACTCATGGCACCAAGCCCTTTCTGAGCAGGAAGTGAAGTCCTTGCATGTGCCGTGGCAGCTGGAAAACCCAGCAGCTTTGCAGGCAGGGCCCGCTGGCCAGTACACGGCTGTCCCCTGGTATCCCTGCCAAGTGGGAGTGACTGTTGTGGGCCATGAGCTGGGATCAACCCTGCCAAATGCTGAAAGCTGAGAGCAGCACAGAGAAAGGGGCTTAGTGGACTGTGGACTGGGAGAGATTCTGGAAAGCATGGGTTCCAATCTATTAAGCAGCCTGTGTTCTTTGCGTTTGAGTATGTGTGTGATTTCACTTGTCAAGCCCTTAAGAGAGCTATTGTAGTGGTCGATGTAGGGTTCATCTTGGCAGAACGTTTGCATGTGCCACCAAGCCTTAAAGAAAATATACAAACTTTTTTTAGAAAACGCTATCTAGTTCTCGCAACAACATGTATTTAAAAGTTCATCTTTCCCCCCAATGACTTGAGATGCCATCTTTATCATATTCTGCATCTTCACAGGTACGTGGATCTATTTCTGGACTTTCTACTCTGTGCCATCAGTCTGTCTTTTCATGCTCCAGAACCACACTGTTTTAATTATAGACAGAATCAGTTCCGTTCAGTTCAGTCACTCAGTCGTGTCTGACTCTTTGTGACCCCATGGACTAAAGCACTCCAGGCCTCCCTGCCCATCACCAACTCCTGGAATTTACTCAAACTCTTGTCCATTGAGTTGGTGATGCCATCCAACCATCTCATCCTTTGTCATCCCCTTCTCTTCTTGCCTTCAATCTTTCCCAGCATCAGGGTCTTTTCAAATGAGTCAGTTCTTCACATCAGGTGGCCAAAGTATTGGAGCTACTTTCTGCCATAAGGGTGGTGTCATCTGCATTTCTGAGGTTATTGCTATTTCTTCCCAGCCGTCTTGATTCCAGCTTGTGCTTCATCCAGCCCAGCGTTTCTCATGATGTACTCTGCACATAAGTTAAATAAGCAGGGTGACAATATATAGCCTTGATGTACTCCTTTCCCAATATGGAACCAGTTTGTTGTTCCATGTCCAGTATAGAATGTTTACTATGTGTTGGAATTAGTTCTGTCCTTAATGCTCCTCTTTTTCAGGGCTTTTCTAGCTATTCTTGCATGTTTACCCTCCCTAAAACAATTAGAATTAACTTGTTTAGCCCTAGGAGAAAAAATCTAGAAGATTTTTATTGACGTAACATTAATGTAAATAACAAACAAGGAGAATCAGTATCAGTATGAATGCAACATCCATGGCCAGTGGTACCATTCACAAAAAAGGGATGCCTTCCCTTTTATTAATACATTTTGAGCTTCCAGAAGTTTTTCAAAGTTTTAATCCTTATGCACATTTGTCATTAAAGTATTTATTTTTTTTGCTATTAGTGGAACTTTCCCTGCCATTATATCTCCTAATTGGTTATTTTTTGCATCTATGAAGATTATTGTTTTTGTTTCTTAGTTTCATACCCTAGTGTTTTTACTGAATTTTCCTGTTATTTATGTTACTCATATAATTCTCAGATTTCCTAAGAATGCTATCATAATACCTGTAATTAGAGGAAATATTTTCTTTTCCTTTTCTAGTTCTTATGCCCCTGATTAAAACAAAAACAAAACCAACCAACAGCAACAAAAAAAAAAAACCTCAAATGCATTGGTCAGTACTTCTGTGGTGGGGAAAGTGAGCATGCTTATCTTGTTCCTGATCCTATTAGGAATGCCTGTAGTGTCTGCTACTGAATAAGATATTGGCTTTAGGACTGAAGCATACGTATATCTGCTAAGGAAGACTTAAAATATTTTTTTTCTGATTACATAAGTGATACCACTCATTTTAGAAAATACAAAAAAAAAAAAAAAATCACAAATTTAAAATCATCCAGAATTCTACCATCCAGAGATTTCTACTACTGACATTCTTCCAAGTCTATTTTTTCAAGAAACCTAGAAACATACATGCATGCAAATGCATACAGACATACACATTTTTTCTTATAAACATGATTATACTCGACAATAATATACCATGAATGGATATCTTTCTGTATCATTAGTCTTATATATCACTGTCCCAAAATACCCCATGGTGTGAATATACCATAATTTCACCAGTCCCTTATTGCTGGACATTTAGGTTGTTCCACTATTATAATGGTATAAGGATAGACACTCTGGCATCTAACTGTGGATATGACACTGAAGATTATTTGATTATTTTCTTGGGATACATTCAGAAAGGTGGGCTGTTCCAGCCCCGAGCCTGTGACAAATTACCTCTAATTTGCTAAGTGGTATAGCCCTTCCCTTAAGACCTTTCTTAAAATTTTCCTTCTTTCTTCTGGCTGTGCTGGCTCTTCATCGCTATGCAGGCTTTCCTCTAGTCGTGGTGAGCGGGGGCTACTCTCCAGTTGCCGTGTGCAGGCGTCTCATTGCAGTGGCTTCTCTCGTTGCGGAGCACAGGCTCTAGGCACACAGGCTTCAGTAGCTGTGGCCCCCGGGCCCTAGAGCTCAGACTTAGTAGTTATGGCACAAGGGCTTAGTTGCTTTGTGGCCAGTGGGATCTTCCCAGACCAGGGGTCAAGCCCGAGTCTCCTGCATTGGCAGGTGGATTCTTTACCACTGAACCACTAGGGAAGCCCTCCTCTTAGGACCTTGAGTCTTAGCTGTCCTTATGGGTTGGATCTTACAGCCCATTCACTTTGTGCCCAAGATCTTGCAGGCATACTGCTTCATCCTGGAGAAGCTACTGGAGAATGAGGAGACTCAAATTAATGGCTTTTGCATCATCGAGAACTTCAAGGGCTTCACCATGCAGCAGGCTTCTGGACTTCGGCCTTCCGATCTCAGAAAGATGGTGGACATGCTCCAGGTGAGGCCTCAGAACTCTGTCCTGCAGGAGCCTGTCATGGGTGGGGAGACTGAGGCAGGGCCTGGTTTTCTGGTTTAATAATGCTGGCAGGGGCCTGAGAAGGCAACTACCTAGTGCCCAAAAGAGCAGTGACAATCACAACCCCAACCACAAACACTTCATGTGATCCACAGTTTGCCACGTATTCACATTCATCAGTTCATTTACTCTTTAAAAACATTCTCTTCCTGCTTCGCTGCTTCATTTTACAAACCTGGAAACCTAGGCTCAGAGATTTGAATGACTTCTCAAGGTCACACAGCTATCAAGGGGCAGAGGTGGGACTTGAACTACACCTTCTGACCTGGAATCCCATTCTCTGTCCCGTTTTGTCAGGCTATCTCCCTCTGCATGTGAATTTATCCTGAGAAAGAGATATCACTAAGGCCTCATGACAACTCACTCCTATATACTGATGTATCTGAAGTCCTTTCTTAGAATGAAAACAGTGACAGACTTAATTTTCTTGGGCTCCAAAATTGCTGCAGATAGTGATTGCAGTCATGAAATTAAAAGACACTTACTCCTTGGAAGAAAAGCTATGACAAACCTAGACAACATATTTAAAAGCAGAGACATTACTTTGCTGACAAAGGTCCATCTAGTCAAAGCTATGGTTTTTCCAGTAGTCATGTATGGATGTGAGAGTTGGACCATAAAGAAAGCTGAGCACCGAAGAATTGATGCATTTGAGCTGTGGTGCTGAAGAAGACTCTTGAGAGTCCCTTGGACTGCAAGGAGATCCAACCAGTCCATCCTAAAAGAAATCAGTCCTGAATATTCATTGGAAGGACTGAGGCTGAAGCTGAAACTCCAATACTTTGGCCACCTGATGTGAAGAACTGACTCATTTGAAAAGACCCTGATGCTGGGAAAGATTGAAGGCAAGAGGAGAAGGGGATGACAGAGGATGAGATGTTTGGATGGCATCACTGACTTGATGGACATGAGTTTGAGCAAGCTCTGGGAGTTGGTGATAGACAGGGAAGCCTGGCATACTCCAGTCCATGGGGTCGCAAAGAGTTGGACACGACTGAGCAACTGAACTGAACTGAGTCTAATCTTAAATCTGCTTTGCCTTGGAAAGGAGAGATGGGAAGTGAGGGTCATGGGAGGGGATGGAGGACAATTGTTGTTCAGTCACTAAGTTGTATCCCACTCTTTGAGACCCCATGGACTGCAGCTCTCCAGGCCTCCCTGTCCCTCACCATCTCCCTGAGATTGCCTAAACTCATGTCCATCGAGTTGGTGATGCCATCCAGCCATCTCATCCTCTGTCGTTCCCTTCTCCTCCTGCCTTCAATCTTACCCAGCAGCCGGGTCTTTTCCAATGAGTCAGCTCTGTGCATCAAGACAATAATGCATGGCAATAGTGTCCTTCTGGTCTATCACGGTTTGTAGTCTACTCAGCAGGCAAGTGGATTTGAAAAAACTCGGTCACCTAAAAGCCAAGCAAGGCTACCTTTCCATTTCCACTCCACTTAATGGCAGGGTCTTGTGCATTAGCAGGAAGAGGGTTGGGCTGCCTCTGGGTTATCCTTCCTTTAGTTTGGAGCTTTGACGAAGCCAGGGCTCCCCAGGTACTAGCCTGGGGATGGAACCTCCAGTGGGCTATCCTCCGGGGCAACTGTGCGATGACAGTACTGTCCTCATGTCATGGGGAGAGGCAGTGTAGTGGGAGAGTGAGTGGGAACCTTTGAGGTCACGTGGCCATGTGGTGGGATGTTGTCTGTCCCTGCAGGATTCCTTCCCAGCTCGGTTCAAAGCCATCCACTTCATCTACCAGCCGTGGTACTTCACCACCACCTACAACGTGGTCAAGCCCTTCTTGAAGAGCAAATTGCTCCAGAGGGTGAGTGCGTGGCTGCACAGGGAAGGTGCCCACTGGTCGTCTGGTGTGTGGGTGAGTGAGTGAATGGGCTTGTAGCAGGAAAGGGTTCAGGAGACAAGAGGGATGAGGGTGGAGGAGGAGGGGACCCGACCTGAGCCCTCCTCGGGCTCTGTACCAAGATTTGGAACCAAGTGGATCCCATGGGCAGCACAGCAAAGAGGACTTCTGAGAAGGACATCACCAGGCAGAGATGGCATGTGTGCCTGTTCCTCTTCTCCCCCAACCTCATCCTTAGGGTACCTCCTTGCTCAGACCCATCTCCTCTTCTTCCTTGCAGGTCTTTGTCCATGGAGAAGACCTCTCCAGCTTCTACCAAGAGTTTGACGAGGACATCCTGCCCTCCGACTTCGGGGGTACACTGCCCAAGTATGATGGCAAAGCCGTTGCTGAGCAGCTCTTTGGTCCTCGGGACCAAACTGAGAACACAGCCTTCTGAGAACATCTCCTGCCATCTGACCTGTAGTTAGCATTCCTGGGCCTCTTCTCCTCAGCTGCCCTGGACCCAGAAGGCTCTGAAAAAGGGCTTCCTGGGGTGACTGTGGTGCCCCCGAACCTCCCTAAGCTTGGGCAAACTCAGATGTCATTCTCCTCCCAAGCTAGGGGCCAATAAAAAAAGCAGGGGAATTTCCTGAATGTGAAAAAGTGAGGATAGTTATATTTCTACTGCCTCTGAAGCTTTAGGACACAAACTTGGTATGGGGTTGAGTTTCAAAGATTCTAATCAAGCTTCTGAATGATTTTATTTGTAATAGAGTTTTACTGTTTAGGATCTGTGAAAATAGGCAAGGAGTCTGGTTTTAAAGTTCTCTTCCTCCCTAAAAATACAAAAAATAAAAGATAAAAGAGGAGTAAAGTAAAAGTGTTAGTTGCTCAGCCCAAGAGGGGAGGGATATGAGTCCAAAGGATCTGGCAAATATAGTGACCTTAGTGGCTGGTAGGCAGGTGAAAGGTTTTCCATGTTGAATTCTGGGGTGGAAGCAGCCTTGACGTGGCTCCATTTTGGGGTGGTCTGGTCCTCCTCCTCTGATGTATGCAGGAGCTTGGACTTCCTCCAAGGGTGGCAGTTGTGTCCCCCTCCTTCTTTCTGTCTGTGGAGTCCCTCCACCGAAGCTGTCTCCTCCAGACCCCTTGCCTCCACAGATGGTTTTACTTAGATTTACAGATGGTATCTTCTCTGAGCACTCTACCAGTCCTCAAGTTATACAGTGAAAGCTCTTCTTTGTCTGCAGCCTCACCCTATAGCAGTGAGCTTCTACTTTCAAGCTCTGCATATTTAGACAAATATAAATGCTTTTCTTTCTGTGGGGTTGGCTTTCCTCAAAGCGTCTGGTGATTTTTGAGTGTGTGCTGGGCATGTTGCTCCCTCTTGGGGAAGGCCTGGCTTCTTCTGGGCATGGGGCTCAGAGGCACTGACTGATTCTTCTCCCAAGGTCCTGCACTGACTTTCCCACTCAGACAGATACTTGTTCCTGTTATCCGGCTTGTGATGATGGGTGAGGGTCGACTGGCCTGGCTGTTCTCACTGAGGTACCCCAGCCATCATCCCAAGACTTCCCTGCTCTTGCCTCCTCCTGAGCATGAAAGCACCCTTGGTGTTGTGCCCACCGTTTGGTGCAGGACCCTCAACTCTTTCCTGGGCTGTGGGTTCAATCTAGTGCCCTCTGCTTTCATGCCTTTGGAAATTTCTCTGAACCCACTGAATTCTCTTTTTTGTTTTCCAGTGTGGCTATGTATATGTACATATATATGTGACTGTGCATATATATGCATTCATTTCTTGTATCTTTTCTTTCATTTCTAGGGTTTGTAGTGTATGCTCATCACCCAAGTGACTTTCCTCCTTTATGACTTTCACAGTCAACAATCTCTATTTTCTTAAATGATATACAGACAATCTCAGAGCTGGAGGAAGAATCACGGCAAACTATTATGGGTGGCTGACCAGTGAAGACGCTTCCCTGGGGGCTCAGCGGTAAAGAATCTGCCTGCAGTGCAGGAGACCTAGATTTGATCCCTGGGCTGGGAGGATCCCCTGGAGGAAAGCATGGCAACCCACTCCAGTTTTCTTGCCCGGAGAATCCCATGGACCGAGGAGCCTGGCAGGATACAGTCCATGGGACTGCAAAGAGTCAGATATGACTGAAGTGACTGAGCATGCATACACACGACCAGTGAGGATTTCTCCCAAACCCTTCTTCAAACCCTTTAAAACCTGAAGCCTTTCCAAATCAAACCTTACATGGAACTCTAGTATTAAGCCTGAAAGAGTGGAGCTGCCCTGAATGAAGAGCGCTCTGCAGCCTCATTCCCAAGACATCTAGAATATCTGGAGCTAAGAAGGTTATATCCAGGGTGAGGGCAGAAACATTCTGCTGAGGGGGCAAGTGATAGGAGGATGGGGCTTGTATTTGCCAAGATAGAGGGCACTGGTGATTTGGTAGTACAGGTGTTGGTAGAGGTGGAGAGGGGATGAGGCTGAGTTGAAAAGATTAAAGGAATGAGCCTTGTTAAAGCTTCCAAGCTACACTTATAATTGTTTTGTAGAAGAGCTGTGTCCCAGATTTGAGGAAAACCCTGGCTGATTCCCCTTGGATGACTCTAATCTTTCCCCTGGTCCCTTATTGCCAGAAGCCCTCCTCGCCCCACCCTCTGATTTGTGGCCACTCTAATTTATGAAGGAGATCAGGATATGGAAAACACTGCAGGCAGAGTTTCTTGGGGGCAGCTTTGGTTCTTCAGTTCAGTTCAGTTCAGTAGCTCAGTCGTGCCCGACTCTTTGTGATCCCATGGACTGCAGCATGCCAGCCTTCCCTGTCTATCACCAACTCCCGGAGCTTGTTCAAACTCATGTCCATCAAGTCGGTGATGCCATCCAACCACCTCATCCTCTGTCGTCCCCTTCTCCTCTTGCCTTCAATCTTTCCCAGCATCAGGGTCTTTTCAAATGAGTCAGTTCTTCACATCAGGTGGCCAATGTATTTGAGTTTCAGCTTCAGCATCAGTCTTTCCAATGAACACCCAGGACTGACTTCCTTTAGGATGGACTGGTTGGATCTCCTTGCGGTCCAAGGGACTCTCAAGAGTTTTCTCCAACACCACAGTTCAAAAGCATCAATTCTTTGGTGCTCAGCTTTCTTTATGATGCAACTCTCCATACATGACATTTGGTTCTCACATCCAGACATTTGGTTATTACTCAAATCCAAATGGGATGTTGGGGTCCCCGCTGAAGTCAGCAGAGCTAGAGACTTAGCTTAAGAAGGGTTTGACAGAAAAGCCCCAGGGTTCTGAGGAAGTCGGTTCTGACTGTGGGCTGCTCCCGCCCCCTGCTGGCCGTGCCCTGATACTGCTCCTCCGTGTCCGTGGACGTCCATGGCTGTCCTGGTCAGGGGCAGGCTGAGCCAGACCTTGCCAGGAAGATGGTGCTGCCTTTGAGATCAGGTGCCTGAAGACCACGAATGTTAATGTTAAAATCTGATGTGCTCAGTTTCCCAAAATCTGAGCTGCCTAGATATGCTGGATTCCTACAAGTGACTACCACCCACCTCATTCATGAAAGAATTAGAGGGACAATAAAATACTCTTGAAAGCCACCAAATATGGGAAAGGGGATAACAAAACATGACTTTCATGACAACCATTTGCTGCTCACAACACCTTCCTCCTGAAGATATCTGGGATGAGGAAGGGATTCTGCAGATGAAAGTTAATTTGAGCCGAGCAAAATTTGAGAGGGCTTCCCAGGTGGCTCAGTAGGTAAAGAATCCGCCTGCCAGTTCAGGAGTCACAGGAAACTACGGTTTCCATCCCAGGCTCAGGAAGATCCCGTGGAGGAGGAAATGGCAACCCACTCCAGTATTCTTGCCTGGAGCATCCTGTGGACAGAGGAGCCTGGCGGGATACAGTCCACAGGGTCGTAAAGAGGTGGACATGGCTGAACACAGCACAACAGCAAAGTTGGGAGGTCACAGTGATGCATCATGTGGCCTTTTGGGGAAATACTGTTTGCAGATGGAAGCATTTGTTAAGATGTGGGTGGAGGTCTCAGGAATGAAATCGGCCATCAGCTTCAAAGAATCTCTGAGCAAGGCTAGCCACTTCTTAGAGTCTCGAGTTTACCTAAGGGATGCTGCAGGAGGCTAATGCTGCTGGGTGTCCTGGCAAAGTCTTCCTGGAAGAGGGATGCCTGGGTCTTAAGTTAATCTGGGAAAGCTGAGGAGTCACCTTCAGGGTGAATTAGACCACCTTTTATAATACTTTCCACTGTGGGTGTGGCTCTGGTGTTGAGGAAGCTTAGCAGTACAGGGAGGGGAAGCTCACAGGATACTGGGGAGCCTTCCTGCTCAAAGTGTGGTCCCAGGAGGGGGTGTCCGCTCCACTTGGGAACTAGCTAGTGATGCAGAATCTTAGCTCCCCCACCCCAGATCTGCTGGATCATAGTCTGCATTTTAGCAAGATCCTTAGGGCATTGCACATAACCAATCAGAGCTTCCAAGGCAGGGGTTTGCAACCTCCTTGCTGATTCTCCTGGGAAGCTTGATGACTTGCTCAGCTGTGTCCAACTCTGTGCAACCCCATGGGTCGGATGGGCTGTGGCCCACCGGGCTCCTCTGTCCGTGAGCATTCTTAGATCTCGCTGATGTATGTCCTTCAAAACCAACTCTCCCCTCCCCACTCAGTTTGTCAAAGGTTTTGCAAGACCAAGGAAGGAAGAAGATTGAGTGGCAAGGTCCTTGGGAGGGGGAGCATGGACCACCACAACTCTCCCGGCTGTGCTAGCACTTGGCCCTGGGAGACCCTTAGCTTGGATTCAGATAGATATAAAGAAGAAAACACCACTGTTACTCAACCAGCTCAATATAATCTTAACTTAGATCATGTTCACCTGGTCTTTTCGAAGAACACTATTAGAAAAGCTTGTGAATCATGTGTGACAACTACCACTTTGACATCTTTTCTTACATTCTGTCTACATGGTTCACTTTATAGAGCAAGTGTTTAAAATGCTGATTATCTCACTCTTCCCAGGCCTTGGCTGTCTTCCCAGAGAGGAAGTGCTTGTAAATACACCTGTGGGCTGGTCATTTCTTTGGTATTTGCAAGGCTGGGTTAAAGTTAATTGTGATGAGAATTTGGTGTTTTGCCCACTTCTTTCAAGCTCGTGCTTTGGTGAAGACACGGGAAGAATCCTTTTATTTATTTTAAAAATATTTATTTTAATTAATTAATTAGGCTGCATCAGGTCTTAGTTGCAGCATGCAGGGTCTTCTAGTTGCAGCGTGTGGGAGCTAGTTCCCTGACCAGGGACTGAACCTGGGCCCCCTGCCTTGGTGGGGTTGAGTCTTAGTCCACTGACCCACCAGGCAAGTCCCAGAAGAATCCTTTTATTCACAGAAAATCTCCACTACAAATAACTACACAGCCAGGTCACATTTTTAGTCTTTTATTTTTTTTTTTAAGTAAAGAAATTCCATTGAATCAAAGATAACAAAATTACAGCTTTTGTTTGTAATGATCTTTGTTTACCACCACAGAGAGTCAAAACAGAACCAAAAGTAATTTATGAGAACATAAAATGATCAAGGACACCATTGCTTAGTATAATTTCTTAATAAAGGTAAATATCCTTATATTTAGAAAAAATTGCATTGCTAGTTGCAAATCTTAAACACCTCAGTGCTGGAGGATCCTATATCCTGTCCCCACCCCCACCCCCAAATCCAGCAGCACAGAGGCCTTCAGAACACAAACTCAAAAATACATTATTTTCAGGGCAGCATTTGAAGTTTCAGAAAATTAAAAACAACCACAACAACAACAAAACAAACCAAGAAACAGAAATCAAACA